TTGTAGAAATAATAGGTTTTGAGTAGTCTTTTGTACATGTTCAGGCTTTAGACTAATAAAAAATGTCAATTATTGAAACTTCTAATCAATTAATTTTCCTTTGATAAACTTTAGGTCAACCAATAATAAGAAAAGAATATTTAACTAGTCCATAATTGAGATAAGAGTAGTTAGCAATTTATAACTTCCCTTTTGAAAATGACAAGCATTATGAGATTCTAGTAACTAAATGGCAGGATCCATTCTTGAAAAAATAGCAAAAGATGTAGTAGTACATTAGAGAGGTTGAGTTTGTTGGGGTTGGGTGGGATAGTCAACAGTTTTGCTTCTTCTAAACTTTTTCCTATAATTCTTAGCATTGTTTAGTATTTTGATAGGTCACTATCCATCTATTTGAATAAGGTTATAGGTGAACTGTTTGGTCATCTACTTGTTCAATTGACTTAGTGGGACTTGATGATCTCCAATTAAAGCTTGATTAGTAGCAAATTGTGTCTTTTATCAGGATCATTGTTGCGGTGTTGAGAATTATTGAGAGCTTTGGTGATGTATTCATGGCATGGTATGAACTCTTTAGACCTTCCATCTGATACATGATCAAAGTCACACACAATCATTTATTTATGTTGTCATTTCAGGCTACCAATGTACAGTGAGGCAAAGTTGGCACTTATCATCTACTTATGGTATCCAAAAACAAAGGGTACAGGATACATATATGATGCCTTGTTGAAGCCATTTGTGTCAAAGCATGAACCAGAGATTGACAGGGGTTTTCTAGAGTTCAGAGCCAGGGCATTTGACTTGGCTATTTACTACTGGCACAATTGCACTGAATTGGGCCAAGCAAAATTCTTTCAATTGCTTGATTTTATAGCTGCTCCCTCTAGAAGAACTTCACATCTCAGCTCCGAGGTACTTCCATCTAACCATTTAAATGCTTGATGATCATATTTTCTTAATCTGGTGAATTTTTTGACAGTAGATTAGTTTTTTAAAAGCCCTTCAAGTGGACCATTTTCATTAACTCAAAATGTAGATTATGAGATACTATATAAAGGATTAAGAAAGTAAAAAGAGAAGGCAATAACATCCATAAAATGCGTATTCACACTTAGGGCTCGTTTGGTAGGGTGCATAAGAATGCGGAATACAGTGTATTAGTAATGGTGGTATTAGTTGTGCTTGCTTTAGTTATGCTTGCATTAGTTATGTTGACATATTTCTTATCCATTGTTTGGTTTGATGTATTAAAGCATTGCACAATTTCTAAAAGAATTGTTTGTTTACAAAAATGCCCTCAAAACCAGTCCATCACTCTATCTTTTTAGAAAAAACATATGTTAGGAATGTTTTTATATGAAAAAGTTTTAAAAAAATTATTTGATTTATCTACCTATATTGTAGTATAGAACTGAATATTTCTTTAAAAAAGAAAATATGCTAAGTATTTATTTATTTACTAGGGATATAATTTTATTTCTCACTATTTGGATTATTTTAAACTTGCATTAATATAATAGCATATTTTATCAAGCATAAATTTTGAAGGATAATTTTGTCGTTAACTAAGCTAATGCACGCATTAAAACCCATTGCATAGCTAATACCATGGTTTTCTATGCATTAGTTATGCTTAGGATAATACCAAATATGGTATATAACTAATGCTTGCATAACTAATGCATATGTTCAAAAAGTGTATCGAACAAGGTATTATTAATACACAAAGCTAATGCATGCATTATTTTATCTAATGCATCCAACCAAACTATCCCTAAGTATTTTAACAAAACCAATAGATGCAAGTCGTTCATCTTTTATACATACATTTATATGTATTCTCAATTTAGTTTATAGTTTCTAAGGTTTAATCTTGCTTTATTTGGTGCAAACACTATGTGGAATAAGTATTTTCTTTAATATTCCGTCCCAAGGGCGAGAATAGCACCAATAGAAAAATCGAAAATAATTTGAGATAAGAGTAAAGAAGCCAGTGAACAAATCCGTACTGGAGACTAAGAAGTCCATTTGCTAGGTCTTATTGTGGATCAGAATTCAGAATATTACCCTGGCCAGCCCATGAGATCATATTCGGCCGGTCCAACTTCTTTTTGAATCTTCGGCCACGATGTTTCAAAGTGGACTAACTTAGCTCCTCCATACTTTTTGACTTCCCTCGTATATCACGTCTGCTTCCTCAGACAAGATATATTCTGTTCATCTCATCTCCATGAAGCAAGAATTCTTGCCCATGCTGATACTACCAAATTTGATCTTCCTATTAATCATTTTGGATTCTCATAATCATCTTCATTGGTATAATCAATTTTTGGTATTATTATTACCATGTCACTAAATGAGTTCGTTTTAACCCATTCTTGAAATCTACATCCCTAGGAACGAGTGTATGGGCAATCCAAGATTTAAAGTTTATGAATTCTTTATACAATAATAATAGGGCTTACAGCCAAATAAATATTTAATGAACTTCTTAATATAAATATAGAATTTGGGCAAAACTATTGAATTCACGGGAACCCATAGGCTTAAGGTTAGATCCGTCCCGGCTTGCACTGCACTTGAACCATAGGAGGTATGAATTGCGTGAAAATCGTAGGAATGACGACAACAACAACAACTCAGTAAAATTTCACCAGTAGGGTCTGGAAATGATAGAATGTTCGTAAGAATGAGGCAGGTAAAAAAGAGTAACGAGAATGATAAGAGCAAAAAGGAAGAAAAGTAATAAGTAAATAAATAACAAAGAGCACATGTGGAGGCGTGGAGAAATAAGTAGCTAGAAGGGGCATGAACAAGTGAGGCTTATAAAAGATTGATCAAATGATTGAATGATAATTTCACCGGCGCGGTAAAGCGCTGAGCAAGTTTTCTTTATTATTATTACTCCTATTGAATAATAGGAATGACCTAGCTACATTTTGTCAGAGACTTTCATTGATCCCAGTAGTGATAATTCATGATCTTCACAAAGGCGTGATACAACCAAATGCGTTTTGGGTAATATGGTTAGTCACTACTGACTAGGGTCGACTAAGTTTTAATATTTTAAATTAGATGTTGATAAATATGAATTTTTAAGCGAATTATAAATTCATAGTATCAAACTGAACAGTAAGAGATTTTCTAGAATTAATTCTTGAGTTTCAAGCGCTAAAAGTCATAACTAATCAAAATTATAAAGTGAAAGCATTTGTTCAAACGCGTAAAAACTACGGATTGACACATTGATTTAAAATGTGAAATAAAACGAAACATGATGTATGTGACAACAAAACTCTAGGTTGATTGTAAAACTAAAATACAAAGACTTCAAAACTTAATCGCTTATTTCCGAACGTATCTTCAGATTAAATTACTAGGAACCATCGTTTTGAATAAAAATCCGATTTATAGACTTATTAATATTGAGAGATAATCTTACACGTTTCATATATCGTGACATATTCTCTATTCACCAAATAACCAAAATGCCCCAAACGAATATTACACTCTTTCAATAGAAAACCTTTTTTAATTCTCTAGGTATTCTGGTTTATTCGCTCACCACTTTTTCGCATCAATCAACACCAAGACAAACAATCATACAAATCAATGAATAGAAACACATTAATCACCGAATTATTACTCACCATTTATTTAATTACCACTTTATTTCCCACTATCACCATCATCAATTTCCTTGTTACTTCTTTTTGATATTTTAAACTTGTATGTATATAGAAAATCATAATTTTTAATTTTGTTGATCAATTCTCGCAGCAAAGAAATGGGACTGACCATTCTCGCGGAGCGCCACCTCCTTCGGCCCCACCAGCACCACCGTCATCATCATCCTTCAGTTTATTCAGGAGGAACAAGCCGCCGTCAGACAGGAGGCAGCCACCACCATCGCCACGGAGGCAGCCACCTCAATCGCCGCGGTCTTACTACGCTCACCGGTCAACTTTTCTTCCTTCTAAACCGGAAACGGTCCAAGTGCACCCGGAGGATCTTTCATTCCTAGACACAGACTATTTTGAATCCGGTTCGGACCATGCTGCCCGGCCCAAATATAGGCGCAGTTAGTCAACAGATAGTTTACCAGAAATAGTAGTAAGAAAATTGTACATTGTAAATAAGCCAACAAAATAAAAATAAAAAGTAAACTCAGATTTTAAATATTTTTTATTGAACGTTTTTCCTGCTCCATTTGTTTTGTATTTTTTTTTCGGTTTTTCTGGAATTACATGAGAAAATGAAAGGCGTTGTACATTTATGACCCCAATTTTCAAACTAGAAGGTGACAAATCCAAAACGGAAGAATATATACTGTATATCGGGTCGGGTCACCCTAACAACCCGTTGTTT